TTTTGGTATTATGCACTCTTATATACTTTTTGGTTTGTTTATCCTTATATTTACTAGTATATTAATAAACTAGTAAGGCTTCATGTGTAATGATGTTAAATATTTGTCATCCAGTTTTTATTTTTATTTTTTTTATGAATAGTTATAGAAGTAAAATAAGAAATACTAAATTTAAATAATATAAAAGTAACAAATAAATAAATAATAAAAAAACGGGCTGAACCGCAGGCCAGCCCGCCCCAGCCCGCTTTAGACCGCGGGCCAAACGGGGCGGGCCAAATAGGCCCGTGATTGAACGGGCTGGCCAAGCAAAGGCCCAAGCCCGTCCATTTAGGCGGACGGACGGGCCAGCCCACGGGCCATGGCCCGTTTTGACAGTGCTAATTGTATGTGAAAAGGGTACCTCCATAATGGTGTCGGCACCAAAATCCTTCCTCCAGTGAAGCATATCGGCCCACATCTGCTTTGTTTTCTCGATATCGAATTTCCTGGCCTTCAGAAACCTAGTTTGTTTGAGCCAAAAATGGTTTCGTGATCAGCCGCAAATGAGAATATTACAAAAAGAGACCACGGGGTTTGTACTAATTATAGAACAATCCCAAATTTAACAAGAATCATTAAATCACCCATCCAATTTCCATTTGATTATCTTCCCTCGTTCATGAGAACCAAAAAATATTTCCAAAAACCTTCCTACATTTATCTCTCTCTCTCTCTCTCTCTCTCTCTCTCTCTTTCTTTTACCTAAGTAGCATATGAGCCAACATGGTTTCATGATCAGCTGCAAGTCAGAATATAACAAAAGAGACCCCGAGGTTTGAACTAATTTCAGAATAATCCTAAATTCACCAAGAATCATTAAATCACCCATCAAAGTTTCATTTGATTATCTTCCCTCATTCATGAGAAACAAAAGTACTATTTCCAAAAACCTCCCTGCATTTATCTCTCTCTCGTTTTTACCTGAGCAACATATGATAATCATCGTGCTTGGCGGGGAGAAGCTCCTCAAGAATGAGGACTTGGCGAAAGGCATCGACTGCTTGAAGCTCCTCAGCATCGTGCTCGTCCTCAAGAACAACCGACATCACTCGGCTGCTCCTCCTTCCCCGCTTGTTCAAAGAGTTTCTGAACTTGCTAGAGGCATTAATGGCCGCCTTCTTCAGAGAAGCCAGCCTTTTCTTCCTATCTTCGTCTAGACCATCCATGTCAATCTTCTCGACATCTAGCCATTACAACCCCCAAAAAAATATATATTGGGCTTTTTTTTTTTTGAACTTTTTACAAGAATAAAATAAAAATGGAAATGATGTATGTGCTTACTTGGCATGGATGCGTGTTCTAGAGGTCCTGACATGATCGCGTTTTGCGATGTTCTGATCAAAAGTCAGATGGTAGAATTCTACAATCGCAAGGACTTGCGGATTGCCTGCAAATGTTAGATATACAAGTCGGATTATTTCGAAACTGGTTTATGTAAAATATCTACAAAATTGTGGAAATCATTGAATACAACACATATATACATCATTTTGTCCTGAGCATTAACAAGAAATCAAAATGCAGAATTTCAAAAATTCAAACATAGCAATGGACATTAATGATTGGAACATAATCAAACCCCATGATGACAATAACCACATAAGTTTATTAAGAGGAAATAAAAATTAAACATAAACATGATCACAAGCCTCAATAATCAATAACAATTTAACATGGCACAAATCATGAATATAATAACTCAGCATTGCACAAATGCAGAAAACTTCACCAAATCATGGACACACAATCTACATTCTCATCTGAGCAATCAATGAATTACTATAATAAACCCAGAAAAACAGAACCCAAAATAGAAAAAAAAAATGTATATATGCACAACAAATTAACAAACCATTACATAAATAAAAGCTGGAGCTTTTTCAGATTTCTTGGCAGGAGAAGGTGAGAGAGAAAGTGGGATATAGAAATAGACACATAGAGAAAACCAAGAAAATTAAGAGGGAGAAAGGGTGTTAGAAAACTGCTTTACCAGTGTTTGAGAAAGAATGGCTGGAGAGAGCCCTGTAGCCCGAAATAAACTCGCAAAAAGCTTGTGGCTCTGCACAAGAGAACAAAAATCAATGGCTACCCATTATTCATTCTCTTTCTCCACGCACACCCATTAAAGCCCACATAGAGGAATGCACAATTTTATCTCTTTACCGCTCTATCTATATATAATGCAAAATTTGATGTTGAGGAGAAAAAATAAAATTGCTCATTGTTGACTTAGCTACTGCCCGTGACCTATTATTATCTGTAATTTTTTTTCTTTAATCTATCAAATGTGTTTGTGTGCGTGTTTGTGGAGAGAAAGAGTATTAAAAGCAGCTGTGAAGAAGAAGAAGATTCGAGTTTTTAGGAGTGCTCCCCATTTTTTTGGGTTCATATCAACAAACGTCACTTTCTGTGTTGTACTTCCCGGGGAAAAAAAAAAAAACAAAAGAAATATTATTTGTTCTAATTTCTTATGTGTCAACTAACTCAAGTGAATGCAATTAATTAGTTTTCACAAAATTGTACTGTAATTTTCCCCAAATATTTGTCTCGTTTAAAAAATAAAAGTATCTTTTGAAAAATATACGAGTGTTTTTACTTGTAACAGAATATTTCAACACAAATATTAACAATGTACAGTTTATTTACAAGATACAATTTGAGCACTAATGTTAACAAAGCTGCCGACTGCAGAATCACAATTTAGTGGACTTCCACTAATTATAGATAGTTTACAACCATACCATACAGAAGAAAAACCATTATTTTGATACCCAGCAGCGACTTTATTATAAATTAATTCTTTGCTATGATTTTGTCCATTCTGACATTGGGCTAGAAGATATTCACCAACTAGCAACAGTGACCTTAACATCAGAAAATTAAATAGAAAAATGAAATGTGACTGGGCTCAAGTACTTGACCATTTTATCCAAAAAGCAAATAGACCAATATGCACCAGGCCCATCTCTGTATTCAATGCAGAAAGCAAGCCCACTAAATTCAAATACATAAGTCTCAAATCATTAACCAATACCAAGTTTCCATATGTCTCAAAATTCAAAATCATGTCATTACTTTACATATTCACCACTCAAATTTAATGCACCACAAAAACAAGAAAAAAAACACAATCCTCACTTTGCCCCAGATTCTACCACATTTGCTGCAGAAGATTCCAAACTCTTGTCAAGCTTTTCGGCTCGAATCTCCTCCTCAAGAAACCCGATCAAGATTTTCAATGCATTAGCAGCCTCATCATTCTTAAGTATCCTCTCACCCATTCCCTCAGGAGCTTCTTCTTTAACTTTCTTCAAGATTTCATTAGTCACCTCTAGTTTTGCTGTTTCGATTTCCTTTTTCTGCTCAAGGAACTTAATCAGGCCCTCGAGAGCAATTGTGGGCTCGTCGCTTTTCAGAAGCTGCTCCCCGACTTCAGCTGGGGTCACTTTTGTCGAGGCTATTAGTGACTCGGTTTTGGGCATGAGCGGGTGGTTCGCGAGCCTGAGATAGTTCTTTGCCAGCAATTGGAAGCCACATGGAGTGCAGTAGGACATGTGAATATGGACATCCATTCGGCCGGGCCTTAAAAGGGCCGGGTCAAGTTTTTCTTTATGGTTGGTCGTGAAAATTATGATGCGTTCGTCCCCACAGCTTGACCAAAGCCCGTCAATGAAATTCAGCAGCCCTGATAAGGTAACCTAGAGAAAAAAAAAAAGAATAGAGTAGGTATAATAATGTCTTAAGTTTGAGTTCGTGTCATGTAAGTAAAATTCGAAATGCTCTGCTCTATGTGTCACTTTTGTTCGGTATTTTGCAGTGCTGCCGTGTTGAGTCGCTCAATGTCATTGACAGTTGACACTACACGATTTTTAAAGAAGCCATGCATTTTGATTCATCATTTAACAAAGATATTCAAATATAGAAAGCAAGACGCATACAAAACTTTTAGTATTAATCCAACCATGTCTCAGCTGAATTTTGAGACTGGAATTGATCAGATGATCATTAGCAAGCATTTTTTCCTCTTAACATCAATTCTTCATAACATATCTAAGAACTAGAGCAACATTTTTTTCCAGTTAATACGCGAAAAAGTATAGATCTCCAAAGGTTGAGACACAAATTTAGCATATATCAATCATAACCGAATAACGAATGCTTTAAGGGAACCATAAATCTGCCTAAATCCATCAAATGAGCATGAACAAACATATCATCTCATAACAACCTTTCTTGACAAAACACATTCACAGAAAGAGATAGAACAATAAATTTCTTTTAAATATTGAAGACAAAAGCTGAAGAACTTGCCTTTTGTCCTTGATTACCATGGTATCCTGGCCTTGGAGGCATCATCTTATTCGCAGGAGAATTCCTCTCCGACAGGTTGATAGACGCATCAATATCCTCCACGACAAGTATCGACCGATTCTTAGTACAAAGCAGCAGCCTCCTCAGATCCGAATTGGTTCTTATATCCGCTAGCTCCAAGTCATAAATGTCGAAATTCAGGTGATTAGCCATGGCCGCAATCAAGCTCGATTTACCAGTCCCTGGAGGCCCGAACAGTAGATATCCCCTTTTCCAAGCCTTCCCAACTCTCCTGTACAGTTCCTTCCTCTTCAGAAACCGGTCGATGTCCTCGATTACTGTGCCTTTGACCTCATCGTCCATAGCCAGGGTTTGGAAATTCGCTGGGTGGTCGAGGCTCACCGACTGCCACGGGCTCCGGCCAATCCCGTGCATACGGTCGTTCGCCAGTGTGTGGAGCTTAATCGTCTTCTTCTCCTCCTTCACGGCCTTGGACTTTTCGACCACGTGCGGCAGGTACTCGTCGAGGATCAGGTCCCGCCGGCTCCTGTGGAAGGTCAGCTCTAGGTGCCGGATCTCGTCCCTCGGGCACTTGTCCGGGTATGGGCCCGGGCCAGGCCTAGACGTGGCCACCATCCTCCACCGGACCTCTGCCCCGCGGAAAGAGTCGGCGAACTCAACGTCCCGACCGACGGTGACGTGGATCTTCCGCTCCTTGTCGGGGAGGATGGCACGGAGGGAGCGGGCGGTGGGTCCCGCGATCGAGCCCGTGTAGACCTCGGCGGCGAGGAACAGCTGGTTGCGGGACAGGCCGTCGTACTCGTCGATGACTAGGGTTACCTCCGACGAGAGCGCGTTGAGCGCGTAGCGGAGCTTGGTGAAGAGGAAGCGGCGGAGCTCGCCGGGGACGAGGTCGCGGGCGAGGGAGCGGACGAGGACGGCGGTGGCCGCCAGGGAGGCGGCGGCGGAGAGGGCTTGCTTGGCGGAGGGGAGCTCGATTTTTGGGTACATGGCGCTGAATTTCTTGCTCATTTTTTCGGATTTTTCCCTATTTTATTTTTTGCGGGCTGTGGTCTATAAAGGGTGGTAAACTGTGCGAAGTGAGAAAATGGGAGAAAGACAGAGAATTTATAGGAGTGAGAGAGAGAGAGAGGTGGTGGCGAGAAGATGGAGTCTTGAGGGTGTGTTTTCCGGGGTTTTTCCTTGTTTGGTTGCTTGTGAATTGGTTTATGATTTTGCATTGACTTGACTTGCGTTTACTTGGGGACTGGGGTGGAAGTAGATGACTGAACCAAACAGGGCCTAACAGTATTGATGTACTTTTTGGATGAAAGGAGACGATGAAAGATGAAAGTGAAGGATGGTTTGCTACTGGAGAAAAGAATTTAGGAAAACACTACATTCCCACGGAATTATTTAAGCAGCATAAGATTAGTATTTATCGTAAATTGCATTAAAAAATAGTATTTACACAAATAGTATAAAAAAATTGGGAATCAATTACTTATTGAGTTATTTCAATTAGTAACTTTTTAAAATAAATTAAATCTATATATATTTATATATACTATGCCAAAAAACTGAAAATAATATTTGCAGTTGTATTTTAAAATTAGTATTTTTTTTAAAATAAATTAAATATATATATATATATATATATAATCAATTAAAAATATGAATTTAAAATATAATTCTCTAGCCGTATTTCAACAGTTTTATTTTTTAATAGGAAAACGAGCATGTTTGTTTATGGAAATTTTTTAAAAAAATTTCAACATTTTAACTCAACCACTTTTTTTAACTCAACTTTAACTCAACCCACTATAATCAATATTATTAATATAATTAAATAATATCAATCAATCATTCATACATACTACACCAACCTTAATTCACTATTCATCCACTCACATTATTTTAACTAACCATCACTTCAAATCACATCTCTCATACTTTTACATCAAATTAATTTTAATTATTTTATTTTAAATATTATTTTAATATACCCACTAACAATTAACTATACCACCTTTTTCAAAATTAACCAAACCAAACAAAAAAATTCAAATAAAACCAAAAATTTCCATAAACAAACATGCTCTACTTTTTCCATTGTAATTCTTTTCTACATTCTTATATAATAAGAAAACTGTAGGGTGCATTTGGGCTTGACACGTGGCATCGTAGAAAGCCAGATAAAGGCTATGTTTGGTAAAACTAGCTGATAAGCTAGCTGATAGCTGATAAGCTAGCTTATAGCTTATCAATAATTTTTTAGCTTATTGCTTATAGCTTATGACTTATAGCTGAAAAACTAGCTTATATGATATAAGTGTTTGGTAAAATTAGTTGATAAGCTAGCTGAAATAAAAAATTCAACTAGCTTATTTGAAAAGCTACCTAAAGAAGCTTATCAAATAAGCTCGAGTTTTTTAAAAAAGCTCGTCCTACCAAACGAGGCTTATTTGAATACAGGGAGCTTATAAGCTAACCAAATAAGCTATAAGCTAGCTTATTTGTCTACCAAACATATTCAAAGAGCCTCTTTTCTTTCCTTTGTTCAGTGCTTTGGTGCATCTTTTTTATTTAATTCATTGTTTTTGTCTTATGGTATAATGGTAATTTAACTCATGTGGTTGTATTTTTTCTTATGATCACACTATTTAAAAAGCTTACTAAATTTGAGGCCAATTTGTAGATACCTTGGTTGCTTGGTTCTAATTATCTGGAGATATACCTGAAAAGGACTTGGGGCCTAAGAAACATTAAAGGTGATAACTTTTTATTCTAATAATTTTAATAAATATTATATATTAAACCTCAAGAGATTAATCACATTAGTTTTTTTTCCTTCTTAGTTGTTTCATTTTATTTTCTTATTATCATTTTCTTCTTCACACACATTTCCATATCTATTAAATAGTGTAAATTCAATATATTATATCTTGTGCAGGCATTAGAATTTGCATGCAACAAGTAACATCAAAACAAAGATTCATTTACAAAAGTAATAGACGTAGGCTCACCAACATTGTTCTACGTTTCTCATCAATTTATATTTTTCAAGAAAACTTAGTAGTTGTTTTACCAAATAAAGTGGTTAATCGATGTACATAATATGTATGGGTTGCTATTATTGTTTGTATTTAAGGTGAATATATTGAAAAAAGTTTGGTTGTGGTGTGGTGTTCATGGTATTATTGTCTTTCATTTTGGCATTTGTGTTATTATATTAATATTTTAGGCCTTAAAATTCTATTATTAGTGGTGGTGTGCGATTCTTTAGGCCTTCATCCATACATTATAATTTATACTGAAATTCTGAGTTTTGCTACAAATTTATAATTTATGCCTCTTTTTTGGCATGTCATGAAATGTATACATTTTCCAGTGAACATTTTATTTGTCTGCAGTCCTTTCATCATGTAGTGTTTGGAGGAATATAACGCATCATATGATGACGCCCAGTTGTGGGAATGGAGCTGAACTTTTAACCATATTTTTAAGAAAGATGTTCCTGATATCTTAATTTTTTGCTCTTATATTTCCTTTTAGCAAGCATAATCCTAATTATATTTTGTTTTCTCTTTAGTAAAGTTTTCTCTTACTTACCAACTTTGGAAATTTTAGTTTCAACTTTTTCAAATAAATAATACGCTTTCAAATATGTTTATACAATTAAAAATTAGTTCTTTATAAAAAGTTAAACAAAATAGAAAATAAATTAAATCATATGGGCCGGCGGTGTTTAACACCGCCGGAGATTTTCTAGTTTTATTTTTAGAAAATAAAAGGACTCATTACTTTGCCTTTTATAGGCAATTGGTAAAGGCCTAAGTAAGACTTTATTTTTTTTTATAATCTTTATTTTTATTTAACTAGAAAATAAGTTATTTGATTGAAAAATTCCTGCTCAATATATGATACAGATTTGAACTATTTTTTAAAATATAAAAGCGATTGTTTACAATCATTTAAACCATCAAGTAAATGAGTTTAATATGATAAATTGGTTGAACGCCTTTCCAACCACATGAGTCATGTTTTGAAAGACAAGTCAACTATCAATATGGGCACTGGAAATATTTTCATCTATCAATATAAAATTTTGAATATGGTTGTAAAAAAAAATATAAAATAAAAAATAAAACCATAAATCTATATATATATAAAGAGGTTGTTGGAAAAATACATTAATAGAAAGTTTGACCTAATAAATAAAATAATTGACTTACTATAACTGGAAAGTTCGAAAAAATACATGTGAATCTTTAGTAACAAAATCTGAATCTATTTTTTTGGTAACTAATTTGAAGATTTTTATGGCAAATTTTGAATTCCATTATTTTCGCATCATATTTTTTTTTTTTACCAAAATTTAAATCATATATTTTGGTAACAAATTTGGAGATTCTTATGCAAAAAATGTGTCAATTATTTATAAAAACAATTCTAAATACAAATTAACTTAAAAACCATACAAATTGGATACGAATTTAGGAAACAAATAGTTGTATAATTCTTAACCAATTCTTCCAATCTTATTGAATAATTTTTTCTTTAAAAAAAGTGTGTAAATTGGATAAAACCACGTGCAATTTTTATTTTAGAATAAAACTGATATTTGGACGGGATGTACATTCGAAATTGTGTCCACATTTTTTGGTAACAAAAGTGATTCATCTTTGATATTTAAAGTCACCTTATCCAATTTATTAGAAAAAAATGTGTGCAACTTTTTAAAATTTAAATGCATCGATTTTTTTGGATTCTTATGTTTTTTCTTAACCATGTTTTACCGAGATTTTGGTAAGTTCATTTCAATTTTTTTTTTAAGTTAATATCATTTTCTTTAGGAAAGAGACAGTTGCATAAACATTAACAAATTGTTTCAATTTTTTATTAAAATAATTTTCAATTCAATTTGTTTGGTAAAAAAATTGATGCAGTGTTAGGAAAATTCGGTTGCATTTTTAGGAAAAATTGATGATTTTTTATTTGGTTTAAAAAAATATTCGGATCAATTTGTTTGGTAAAAAATCAGTTTATTGGTAGGAAAATCGACTTCATTTTCAGGAATAAATAATGATTCTTTTTAATATATATAAAAAGGTTGTTGGAAAACTAAATAGAATGTTTGACTTATTAATTAATTTGTTTGACTTACTAATTTAGGAAAATTTGTTAAAAAGCACATGCATTTTGAGTAAAAAAAATGAGATTTTAAAAGCAATATTCGAATCAATTTCTTAACAAAAAAACCGGGAGGATGATGTTGAATTGTGGATGAGGATAATGTCAATTGATTCTTTCCGAATTGAAAGGTCACATGTGAAATATATACACCAAGGATATCTAATTTATTAGTTACTTAGGGAGCATGATTGTAGGAGATCAAAATATATCAATGTAAATGTAACATCATGCCATATAAAACAAGTTACGTTATAAGTAATTTAAACATTCTTGGTAAATTTTAAATTATTATATATAATAAATCCTTTGTTTTTTTATATATTAATAGATACTACCTCCTTTTTTTTTAAATGTCATTTTGACTTTATTTCTTTTCGGAGGGTAGGCATCAACCAACTCACGGATTGAGCTTGCAATAACATTAAGCACTTTTTCCCCATGAACAATTAACCAAATAAATGACGTTTTGGATCTTTTGTACATATTTTTTCATTATTACCTCAATCTAGCTAATAAATACACTACATCTTTTCATATTCATTCTTCATCTTTTATCAAAACATCCATCTCTATCCTCATTAATGAGGGTTATTATTTAAAAAAAAAAATCTTAATTACTGTGCAACTTTTCAAAACGATACTTATTAAAAAAAGGAGGGAGTACTATATATGTACTTATATATATATATATATATGTATATATCTATATATATATTGAAAGAGGTTGATTAAAAAATCATTTATAGAAACTTGATAAAAAATTTGAGTCAAAACCTTTGACTTAGTTCTTTTGGAAATTCAATCTAATACTATAAAATAACAATAGGGATTTACTTTAAGTTGAAAAAAAGTTCTCGCCTAAAATTTTAGATTTTACTACAATTGATAACTTTTTTTAAAATTCTTTGAAAAATTGGGAGTTGATTTGTAATTTGAATTATAGCGCCGACGTTGGATGTAGCCGAGTCTATCAATGAGTACATTACATCATTGAATTTGTTGGATGGTCATATGTACTTGAGTTCTGACAGTACATGCAAATCGGATTCTAATAATGATTTTTTGTCTGATCTCCATATGCCTGAGTTTTTTAATAGTATCAAGTGTTCCAGAATACCGAACCATGAGTTGTATTTGAAAATTGGAACTCCGGTCATGTTGTTGCGGAACATGGATCATTCTATGGGTTTGTGTAATGGGACACGATTGGTTGTGACAAAGCTATCCAGTCATGTTCTTGAGTGTAAGATACTCACAGGAGATCATGCCGGTGATAAGGTGTTGATTCCAAAAATGGCCATAACTTCTTATGATGTTAGAATTCCTTTCAAGTTCCAACAGCGGCAGTTTCCCATTATGGTTTCTTGCGCCATGACTATAAACAAGAGCCAGGGACAATCCTTATCTCATGTTTGCTTATTTCTTAATAAACCAGTGTTCAGTCATGACCAGTTATATGTTGTTGTCTCACATGTCACTAACCGAAAATGTTTAAAAATCTTAATTTGTGGTAAAGATGACATGCCAAAAAATCAAACCAATAATGTTGTATATAGGGAAGTGTTCAATAATATATGATCTTTTCAGTTTAATTATATGTTTATATGTCTATTCTTATGATCATCATCATTGCATTATTACATAATTTATATACAAAAGTGCATTCTAAAAAGAGTATAGATAATAATTTCCCCGTGCATCGCACGGGTGATTACTAGTAAAACTTAAAACAAGATGAAAAAAATACGAGTAAAATTTTATGTCATACAAATAAATAGTTTTATATATTTCATATTTTAGATATATTAAATGATAATTTTAAATCGTTGAGGGTCTAAAATGATGGATTTTGTCTTTTGAGCCCTCGGGGGTCTAAGACAATGCATGTTATCTTAAGTCATAAATTAATAATAGGACCATTTTCGGTTCTCATCAAATTAATATACAAAAGTCTTACATTAATAGTTTTAGTCTTTTAGATACTAGATGGACAAATCTCAATTAGTCGTTGATAAATAAAATATACTAGTACAATATCCGTGTATTACACGGGTGTTGAACTAGAAGCTTTTGTAAAAAATATAAAATTTTTTATTTTTTTAAAAACTAAAATAATTTAATTTTATATAAAACATTACTTTGAGTTTTAATTAAATTGTCAAATTATATTTTCTTAATCCTAATAATTAAACATCCGTACATTAAATGAAAATGTCAACCCGTGTTGAACTTTTTTACTTATATCATATAAAAATATCGATATTATTTACTATTACATAAGTACAAAAATATATATCTTAAATAAATAGAAATAATATGGTGATATGTATATGCATAAGTGTAGAATATGTTTATTTAATATTTAGCAAAATAGATTAATTTTTTTACTTAATTAGATGCCTAATACATTAAGGACACGTTTGTTAGCCTAGATATGACAAGATTAAGCCTCCAATCCACCTCTAATCTCACATTTGTTTACCAAGATTCCGGCCCGCCAGATAGGATAGGGCCCGCGATGAACAGTGGAAAAATCATGGGAAACCGGGACTAAGTGATCTTGCCTTGGGGGGTGAGATAACTTTGATCTACACAGTTGAAAATATCTAAAATTACACATGTGTCCCTTAAAGTAAAAATTATTGACCATATTAACCTTATTTGTTGCCAAAATTACTCCTCCCCATTCTTCTCTTTCTCTACATTCTACAACCTGTTCAGATTTTTCCAACCCTATTCTTTCTTCTGCTTTCTTTTTTTAATTTTTAATTTTTTCCATCCCTAATATTATGTTCATCACCTTGACAGGTTGAAGTGCCTTTTTTTCAAATTATGATTTAATTCCCTCTATTTTGCAATTTTTTTCCTGAAGAGCCACGATTTTGTGTTTGATTTTTTGTAAAAACTAGAAGATGAGTGACGATGGAGATGATAGAAATCGTTTGGAGGCGGAGATTGCGGAAGAGGAGCAACGACAGAAAGATTGATTAGGCTGAGGATTCAATTTTTTTGTTTGAATTATTTAATATGTTGGGATGGTTGCTTTATTGAAGTGATTACATAATTGGTTTTGCTTAGGAAGAAATTGAGCTGAACTGTAACATTTTTTGAGTCTCTAAATTCGAGCACTCTTGAGTCCATCTTGAGCGTGTCAATTCCATTGTGCAACTTAAAAAAAGCCAGGACAGCTTGATAATGTCATTGCTCGAATTAGCTCGACTGTTTTATAGCCCTTGCAGCCACATTTGAATTAGCTCGACTTTTGTTTTTGCAAGCTCAGTGTTTGGTGTTTCTGTGTAGGTTGCTGCTGAGAAGGACTAGGGAAAGCTCTATGCTTGTCGGTGGTTCTTTTCTTCAATGTTTTATTTGGTTCTAGATTGTTTTGGCAGTGGTTTGCTTAGTTGGGTGTTGGTTGGTTTGTAGTTTCCTTTGGTTTTTGAGTTGTAAAAATCGACTGGGTAGTTTTTGTTGTGGGGTTTCAGCTTTGTAGGGCTCTGTTGTTCTTTTCCTGGTATTTTGTAAATCCAGTTGGATGGATTAATCTTTGTAAATTGTTTTTGTTGGAATGAAATTAGTTTGATCGATTTGGAAAAAAAGAAGACATGAACAGTAAAAAAGTGTGGTGGGACTGGTGGGTTTATTAATATATATTTTAAAATTAGGGCATATTGGTAATTGACAATTTTTATCTTATATCTTATCTTGTCAAACAAATATGGAATACAAAAATTAACAATATCCTATCTTGGACTAATCTTTCTTAACAAATATAGATTGCACATAGTCTCAACAGTACAATCTTGGACCACAAGATAAAAATTATTCAATCTAGTCTACCTAACAAACGTGCTCTAAGTGTTGTATCAGTCGTGCTTCTCAGTTTTTGAACTTTATATGTAATTTTAGAATTTATATAAATAAATATTTATTTTTATTACATTGACAACATACCAATTAGATTTGAAATAAATATCATTTTTAAAAGAATACATACCAATTTTTATTACTTTATAATATAATTTATAGTTTTATTAATTATTTATTTTTATTACATTGACAACATACAAATTAGATTTGAAATAAATATCATTTTTAAAAGAATACATACCAATTTCTATTACTTTATAATATAATTTATAGTTTTTTTCATATAATTTAATTTAGTTTGATAAATTAGTTTAAATTTTATTTATAAGGATATATATTACTGTTTTGTATTATATATATATATATATATATGTATATATAAATAAATAGTAAAATACAAACGGACTTCATAATATCAAATCAAATGCAACACAGTAATTAAGAATTTTTTTCTTGACAATATTAACCTATTTGATGGATGTTATGGGAAACGATGGAGATGTGATATGAAGAGATACTGTGTATTAGATGCAGGGTTGAAAATTGAAAAATACGAACCAAATATCTAAAACGACATTTATTTTATCAATTATCAATTAAACTAAAGTGACAAATAATAAAAACATGATGGAGTATATATTATTATATATTTTAGTATTACACATGTTACTTGTGCGACTTATATGTGTTATATTATATAATTTTTTTACCTTATAACATATAACTACATAAAACATAAATATATTAATTAGTAAATAATTTTATTTTATGATTAATTTTAATAAATAAAATAAATAATTTTATTATTATTATAAAGATAAATATAATTTATTTATTGTATATATACAATTTGGATGTCAAATCGAAACTCATCAAAAGATGATTAATTAGATATACTATATGTGTAAAACCGATAAGAAATACAAAAGTTATCAAGTTTTAAAATATATTTGCAATTCAATGGTTATAATAGGAAATGATATTAAAATACAATTAATACAAATATTAATTTATATCCAAGCCTAACTAAATGTACATACCAATTTCTATTACTTTATAATATAATTTATAGTTTTATTTGATATAATTAAATTTACTTTGATAAATTAATTTAAATTTTATTTATAAGGATATATTACTGTTTTATATTATATATATATATATAAATAGTAAAATACAAACGGACTTCATAATATCAAATCAAATGCAACATAGTAATTAAGATTTTTTTTCTTGACAATATTAATCCTATTTAATGGATGTTATGGGAAACGATAGAGATTGGATATGAAGAGACACTGTGTATTAGATGGAGGGTTAAAAATTGAAAAATATGATCTAAATATCTAAAACGACATTTATTTTATCAATGATCAATTAAGACAAAGTGACAAATAATAAAAATATGATGGAGTATATATTATTATTATTTTAGTATCACACATTTTACTTGTGCGACTTATATGTGTTATATTATAATAAATTTTATACCTTATAACATAAATATATTAATTGATAAATAATTTTATTTTCTAATTAATTTTAACAAATAAAATAAATAATTTTATTTTCTAATTAATTTTAATAAATAATTTTATTATTATTATAAAGATAAATATAATTTATTTATTGTATATATACAATATGAATGTCAAATCGGAACTCATCAAAAGATGATTAATTTGATATATTATATATGTAAAACGTTATCAAGTTTTAAAATATATTTGCAATTCAATGGTTATAATAGGAAATGATATTAAAATACAATTAATATAAATATTAATTTATATCAAAGTCTAACTCCAAAGCATGATTTTTTGCCAAATATAATTCCGAAGCATGAAAGTTTGTCAAGTAGACTCAGCGCATTCTGAAATTATATATAGAGGGGATGAATAAATCAATATTAAATAATATAAAATAATCTATTTATATTAAAAAACTCGTGCATTGCATATCTGCATGGGAAAATTCTATTCGAAGCCCTAACTTTTAGTAATTGTATTAATCTAAGGCCTGAATTTTGTACTTTTTCAACAGAAGGCTTATATTTTAGGTTATTCTCACTTTAAGGCTTACATTTTAGTTAACTTTTCTTTATAAAGCCCAACTAACTTTACCTTTTCATATAAATATATAAAACAACTATTATGTGAATAGTAGTATTATTATTATTTTGTAATTTATATTTTGCATACTTATAAATAAATTATATTAATAAAAATTAATTTTAACTTTTCTTTTTGGAAGCAAAAGTTGATACTATGTCATTACTTGTTGAAAATGATATATTTTTGTAGATTGCATTTATATATTATTTTCAGTTTTATTACATATTTATATTATAAATAAAAATAATATTTCATATTTTTTAGTTCACTTATCATTTTTTTAAATTATTCATGATTAAACTTTTCCATAAATATATTTTATATAGTTTCACTTTATTATTAAGTAAATATTACTAAAGATATTTATTATAAGTATGTAAAATATAAACTAAATAAAAAATTATTTTTGTTCACATAACTATATTATAAAATAAAGTTAATTTGTTCACATATTTATATCAAAATATGAAGTTAATTGGGCCTTACAATATAAAGTTAACTAAAAAGTGAGCCTTAAATTGAGAATAACCTAAAATATAGATCTTCTATTGAAAAAGAATAAAAATTCAAGCCTTAAATTGATACAATGTAAAAAATTTGAGTATTCTAATGAAATTTCCCCCATCTGCATGGGTACGTATACTAGTGTTTCAAAATCACATTTCAATTTCTACATAATATATTATTTTGATGTTAGAAAATGAATGATTTTCAATCAAAATTATTATCAATTTATTTTCAAACTTTATAAACACCGTTCTGGAATTTCAATTCAGAATATTCAGTTATTTAATAATATTATTAATTAATTGCATGGTCTAGGCCGATATTGTGCTTAGTGCAGGGCGTGCGCCTTAAGCCCAATCACTATATATATTTTGGGTGCAAATTTATTTGCAATTCTAAAGCCCAAGAAAAAATTCAAACTGAATTCGGTTCGGATTCACGATTTTGTTGTAATTCTTAGTTTTAAAGTTGAAAATTTTGGTAACATCTTTAAAATCCAATTTAATTTGTGAATAAAATCATGTCTCTAAAAGACACCAAAATAGATATAGTACATATTTTTTAATATTGAAAAAAATAATATTATACTCTAAAAATTAACATAAATAAAAATATGAAATCTAATACTATAAGTATGAAATTTTGTTAAAATAAAAATTTGAGCGGCTTAAATTGTCTCACATGAAATTTGTGAAAATTCTCACATAACTTAAAAAAACTCTACATTTATATAGGATGTCAAATCGGGAACAAACTGCTTTGACGCAAGTAAAATTTGTGGAAATTTGCAGACTTGGCTGGCAAGAATGGGCCATGGAGTAACAAAATCCCTAAGTTATCATCCTAACAATCAAAACATCCAAATAGTTCATCCCGAAATCAATTATAACAAATATGACCACCCTGCAGCTCCCGCTACTCCTCAACCTGAAATTTGTGCAGGATTACACGGTTATTCAATCTAATAAACAGATATAACAATAGTTCATCATCTTCATTCTCAACTTCTTCCCAGTCGCTATCCTGCCAAAATAAATTTTGCTGAGATTTTCAAAAACCAGCTTCACAGTCGTGGATGTGATAGTGAGAAATGTTAATTAAGTTACGGCAAACTACCTCATTATCCCCACCTACTTGTTCTTGGATTTCTAGTAAAGTGTCCGCTAGTATAGCCACAATCTATTGTGCCCAAAAAGCACGTAGAATGTTAAATTAAAACTAAAACTTAAATAAGAAATCAAAAGAAAAGAAAAAAAAAAAAGAAAACATCAATTACAAACCATTTTTCATTTTCATATTAATATGAAAAGAACATGCATAAACTAATACCTTAGCAGGAAGTGGAACAACTGTCCATTGATATGGCAATTTCTTGGCTTTGGAGCATATGCCTGTGTCAGAGTACAAAATATATACGATGGAGTGAGCTTTTTGAGAATGTAATATAAGGGCCAGATGTAAAAGGAGTAAAATCTAACCATGATAAGATGGCTTTTAACATTAATGTTCCCCAATTCAACATGTCTAGTCTCCTTGAATTTCCCCTGGATGTAATAAGCAAAACAAACAAATTGATGGATTAACAAATTCTCCAGATAAAGTGAATGCTTATATTAGAAAAAACAAAAAGGAAAATGAAAGAAGAAACACGAATAAAGAATATTATTTCCTCTCTGTACGTGTGAAGTAATGTATTCACATTTTCACACAAATAAACAAAAGCCTAATTAACATGAGGACTTGCCTTGTAGTTGGGTCCATTCAGACATTACATAAGAAAAAGAGTTTAGATGACCTTCGGCAGGGATAGAGACGAGCAAGTCAACAAAGTGTTCAAGATGTGGGACACGCATGAGGACCTGCATTAGGGAAATTAACTTATACTATCTATAATTTATAAATGAAAAAAAAAAATCTACTTTGGAAAATATTTTTATAAGAAAATCTGACCAATCTCGCAAAAAATTAGAAGCAATGAACATTTCAGTCCCGCAATTTGTGAACACTGCATGCGTCTCATAAGTGCAGTCACAAGGTCCCTGATGTGTTGCGCCATTTGTGAATGCAAATGTAAGATAAGCTGTAGAATATAGCTGCCGACAAAAAGCGATCTGGAAGTTTCTAGTTCAGGGTCTAGAAGCCTGCACAACAGGACAACAGCAAAAATATATAGCACAACGCATAAACATACCTCAAAGTCGTGCTTAAAGAATCAAATTACATATGAGTAATTAACATCTCCTGCATATGAAGTTTAGCANAGAGGGAAATAAAGAAATAAATCACATGGCTATCTTTTAAAACTACAAATCACCCTAGGATATTGGTTTATATTTGACAAATTGCATCATTAAAGTAGTAGCTTGTACAACAAGCACAGACCTCAAGGATATTGGAACTTTTGTACTACTCTTCACAAATATCCCTCTTTTCTTGAATGAGACAAAACATATTTATTTTCTGCAGAATTAATGCAACTAAAACATCTTCCAAACATTGTACAATCTGCTACCACAAACAAGAGCTTCATGTTGTAAGGAGATATGAAATCTAATTAACACGAGGACTTGCCTTGTTGTTGGGTCCATTCACACATCACTTCCAAGCTACATCCAGCAAACTTCTCATTGTGAAAGCAGGAACACCAGACCAAGAAAGCATATCTTGTTTCCAAACAGACACGAGTGCAGCTAAGCACTGGGTTGCGTTCTGTTATACATGTATCATCCCGTTGTTAATTTCATATTTTAATATAGAAGTTAATTACATATTTTAAGGTAAGTGAATATAAAACTTAACCTTCATTTTGCTATGGTGGAGAACTATTCTCACGAAAAGATCAAATGAAACTTGAAAGAATTCTTTTATCACATCAACAGGGGCATTCTGAGAAATAACATGTTGCAGTCGTAAGCACTTTACAAATCATAATATGCTAACAGCAATCATAATGTTAAAACGATTATTGCCTTTATCAGCATTGTGACAAGATCTAAAAAACCGGCAACTAAACCATCGCGTTGGTGTTGAGGCTGAAAAATGTAAACAGTATCATGTGAAAATGAAAAATACAAGTACCTATTGTTTAATAATTTTCCTTTGATTATTAGTGATAGGTAAAGCTTTGCTTACGCTACTGAGGATTGGCTCAATGTAGGGGAAAACTATAGAAACCAGCGGATGAATACACCCTGCGGCCTTTATTATGGCCTGAAAAAGGCCAACCTCTACTTCATCAAGAAACAACTGTTCAGCCACAGAAGCCAAAGCAGCCACAGTATACAGGGCAGCCTCCCTTACCTGCAAGCATGTTGACAAGTTAAATGATTTCCTATTATCCCTTTAAGTTTAACAAGAAGCTTTATCAAGGTCCATATTAAGCTAACAAATGCACCCCGCTTGAGGGCTTAGATTGTGTAACAACGGAATAAATGTTGTTAAATGTAATTTTGAAGCATAAATGGATTCATTACAAGTTAAGCTAAAACACAAGGGTAGCTTTTGCAGCTAACACAATGGCTAACAAGAAGCTCACTCTTTATTGGTCAGGTCCCGAACACCGGCCAAACCGCCTGCACCTCATCTCCGAATTCTTGACTGACCCTCGTCATCGGCCCAGTTTCATTTCTGTTAAGATGCAAATGTGTAATTAAGCCTTTGCTGATATATTAGAATAAATAAGACTTCAATGATGCAAAATGACAATCTAACTGACTTCACCAGCTGATGCATGTAGACCTAACGTATGCTTTGTTATATACAAAAAACAAACGAGGCTTCAACAACTCACGATGTAAGACATTGGGAAAAAAGGGGAGGGATCTCAGCTCCAAAATAAGAATTTATTTAAGAAAAAGGAGATAAAAATTAATACAAAATATTATATCATTGGTCAAATATAGGATACGATCATTGTTAAGATGCAGTCGACCATAGTGCCTCCCATAAGATAGGGTCACAAAACCATCCACAATTATACCCTCCCACAATTTTTCTTTACCTGGTACAAAGTCCAATTATACCCATGAAATCCTTAAAATCTTGGCCAGAAGAAGTTTCAATTGCTTTCAGTATCGTGTCGTAAAACTGCAAATTTGTAACAGATGGATAAGCCCAAATATACCAAATTAATATGTTAAGTCACACCATGAATCTCGAGTAACCTTCCAGTACCTGATACTCGATGTAGGCCACAATTTGAAGAGCATCATTAGCTTTTATCAAGGCATCCACAAACATGAGTTCTATTGCCTGGAAAGAACTGTGATTAGATGTTTACTGAAAGTTGAAATGAAATTAAGAAATGTTTTTGAGACACAAATGAGATTTCAAGAGCAGATACCTTCACTTTGCATGCATATAATTGACCTTTGTAGGACCACTGATCTTATGGATTTCAAAGCAAGTGGAAAATCTGTACCTATACAGTACAAAGAGGGTTGTTCGTTAAGTAACATACCATTAATCACAAACAAATATAAATGCTAGTTAAGTGTTAGAAAACTATGTGGAGTACATACAACTTACCAAGTCCTAGTAAGTCTTCAGTTTCCTGATGGTACAAAGCACAAAGAACTTGTATGCTAGAAAGTAGGAAGAAGTATCCATCAAACTAATTTGTCATCTCCAGGTTCAATACACATAAATTCAAATTACTCGAAAAACATTTTTGCCAGAAAAACCACAGCCTTAATAACAGTATTAGCAGCAAAATCATTTGAAGTCTAATACACTACACAATTTTATTTCACATAAGCATTTCCACGAAAAGATACTAACATAATTATACTTGAATAATCCCACTCACCTAGATCACGAAACCTACAATATATTAAGGAACGTGAAACAGAATAATAATCAGAAACGGCAAAACTTATTAAAGCAATACATACCACAATTATGGTCGGGGAAAAAATGTGACTACAGTTTGACTTACCTCTGAACCTGCTCAGTGTCGATAAACTTCAAAGAGGTGGTGATATCAAATGGATATAAAAGGTGTTGAATTATGCGCCACATGCATATTAAAATTGGAACAGTTCATGTGAACATCCAAATGCAAGACAGTGATACTACTTGAGCTACATGCTTGAGGTATATCTATAAAATTTTATCATAAAGAAGAATTGACACAAGCCTGCCAAGTTTCAAAAAGAAAATATCATAAAAAGGGTTCGGAAAGTTAAAATTAATCAACAAAACATTTAGAATTTTTCGTCTTTCATCCAACTCTCATCAACTAGAATGAGTGTCACCACAAATCTTAACTCTCCCATAGTTTTAAGAGCTTTCTCCTTCGTCCTAGCCATTCGAACCTTTAGACCTTTTCGTTTTCCGTCGTTACGCTGAGGGAGCAGAAAACCATTGTTAAATGATCATAGTTTTTCAAATGATATCTTAATAGTTTAGCCCAATTTATAACAAGGAGATAGATCCACTCTGGAGCTTTGAGTTTCAGAACTGCGTGATGAATGGAAGGACTCCGCAAGATATTCTTCTCCAACTCAAGGCGAGTGTCCAGGCTTCCACCACCTCTAATGCCACTATGTGGAATCTCGCCGCCTCTAAGAAAGACGTAACAAGCATTCCAATGTGTTTAGCTATAGAGACTTCCATTGTGTCTTCTCAGTGACATCAGTTGTCACTGTATGTTAATCCACCAATATTGCTTAAAGTGTAATAATCCAGCCAAACTTATGATTGGTATGCAACAAGTTGGCAGCATTTAATGAGCCGTAATTGAGGGCTGTCAAAAATTGAAAAGTTAGCCCATTTCCTCTCTATAAATAGTAGGACTTTCGGCAAAGAAAAAAAAACACCAAAAGAGATAAAAGAAAGAGAAAAAGAGTGTGAGCAAGAAGTAAGAATATTACCTTTTGTGTGTATTTGGGTTGTAAATGAGTTTGAGAGTGTTTTGTAAACACGAGCGTATTTTTTTCTGCAAATAAAATATGTGCAGTAGTACGGAGACGTAGACATTAATGGCCGAACTCCGTTATCAATTTGGTGTGTCCAATTTTTATTTATTTATTTCACTTTTGTAGATCCGATTTCATGGAAAAATTCAACGTATTTTTCTCATGTACTCAAGCTTTTGATTGCTTTGAGCAATTTCATGTAGTTGTCAAATATATCTGTTGTTTAGCAAGACAATTGTAATCTTGGCGCACTCCAAGCATTGTTGCACCCTAATGGCCTGTGGAAGGTTACACTTGAGCTCAAACCAACTTTTTTCTCTTTCTTCTCCATCTCTCTTTGTTCTCCATCTTTTCTTTGCAGATCCAGTTAAAGCCTATCATGTAAAGGTCAGTTAATTTGATCGCGAGGTTTATTTGACCATAGGCGGCACTCACCAAATTGAGTTTAAAAGCGAGAGTTTGTTTGGACGGTAGTTCTGCAAGAACGGCGTTGTGTAGATCCGGCATAAGATGGTAGGGCTTTGTTACAGATTTACGAATTTGATGCAGAAATTTCAAATAACTTGAAGCTGTATTGAAAACATCTACGTTCATTGTGAGCGTGAACGCAAACTGGATAATCTCCGTTTTATCCTTTTTTAAACTATCAATTCCAAAATTAAAAAGGGATAAAACGGGGATAATGTTTGCGTTCACGCTCACAATGAACGTGGATGTTATCAATACAGCTTCAAGTTATTTGAAATTTCTACATCAAATTGGTAAATTTGTAACAAAGTCCTGCCATCCTATGCCGAATCTACACAACGCCGTTCTTGCAAACCTACTGTCCAAACAAATTTCCGCTTTTAAATTCAGTTTGGTGAGCGCCGCCTATGGTCAACTAGACCTCGCGGTCAAATTAACTGACCTTTACATGCCTATACATGATAGGCTTTAACTGGATTTTCAAAGAAAAGATGGAGATAGAGAAGAAAGAGGAAAGGGAAAAGAAAGATAAAGCTGGTTTGAGCTCAAGTGTAACCTTTCACAGGCTTCAGGGTGCAACAATGCTTAGAGTGCGCCAAGATTATAATTGTCTTGCTAAACAATAAATATATTTGGCAACTCCAGGGAGATTGCTCAAGGCAATCAAAAGCTTGAGTACAGTGTTGGGAAAAATACGGTGAATTTTTTCATGATATCGGATCTATAGTATAGAAGTGAAATAAATAAAAAGAATTGGACACACCAAATTGATAACGATTGATAACAAAGTTACGACCAATAATGTCTACGTCTCCGGACTACTGCAGATATTTTATTTGGAGAAAAAAATACACTCGTGTTTACATAACACTCTCAAACTCACTCACAACTTCACAACTCAAATACACACAGAAGCTAAAATTCTTGCTTCTTACTCGCACCCTTTTTCTCTTTTTTTTCTCTCTTTTGGATGTTGTATTTAGTGTGTGTTTTTTTCTTTGCCGAAAGCCCTCTATTTATAGAGGGGAAATGCGGCCAATTTGTCAATTTTTGGCAGCCCTCAATTACAGCTCATGAAATGTTGCCAACTTGATGTTACATACCGACCATAAGTTTTGTTGGATTATGACAACATTGGTGGATTAACATACAGTGACAACTGAGAAGACACAAAGGAAACTTCTATAGCTAAACACAATGGAATGCTTGTTACCTCAGACGGCGAGATTCCACATAGTCGCATTAGAGGTGGTGGAAGTCTGGACACTCGCCTCGGAGTTGGAGAAGAAGATCCTGCGGAATCTTTGCATTCATCACATTGTTATTCTAAAACCCAAAGCTTCAGGGTGGATCTCTCTCCTCGTTACAAATTGGGCTAAACTATCAATATATTTGAAAAACTATGATCATTTGTTTGATGATGGTTTTCTGCTCCCTCAGCGTAACGAAACGAAAAGGTCTAAAGGTTCGAATGGCTAGGACGAAGGAGAAAACTCTTAGAACTATGGGAGAGTTAAGATTTGTGGTGACACTCGTTCTAGTTAATGAGAGTTGAATGAAAAACGGAAAGTTCTAAACGTTTTGTAGATTAAATTCAACTTTTCGAACCCTTTTTATGAAATTTAATCAGGCCCTTAAGAACAATTGTGGGCTCGTCGCTTTTCATAAGCTGCTCCCCGACTTCAGCTGGCGTCACTTTTGTCGAGGCTATTAGTGACTTGGTTTTGGGCATGAGCGGGTGGTTTGCGAGCCCGAGATAGTTCTTTGCCAGCAATTGGAAGCCACATGGAGTGCAATAGGACATGTGAATATGGACATCCATTCGGCCGGGCTTTAAAAGGGCCGAGTCAAGTTTTTCTTTGTGGTTGGTCGTGAAAATTATGATGCATTCGTCCCCACGACCAAAGCCCGTCAATGAAATTCAGCAGCCCTGATAAGGTAACCTAGGAAAAAAAAACAAAGAATAGAGTAGGTATATTAATAATGCCTTAAGTTTGAGTTCGTGTCATTTTATTGCGTATAAACACGATATACATGGTTTCTTCCGGCTTTTTGAAAAATTGGCTCGTTGACTTTGTCCATGGTTTCTTCCGGCTCTGTCTCTTCTGAAAAATTGGCTCGTTGACTTTGTCTTCTGCCCCAACAGTTAATGGAACTGACAAGGTATATAAATAAAATCCGATAAACTATATTTTTTAAGGGGAAGTATGTGAACTATATTTTTTGTTCAATTTTTTTTCAAAATGAGTTTGGTAATGTAATCATTTGTTTGTTCGTGTAGGAATCTGATTTCATCACTCGATTGACAGGAGTAGAAATCACCAATGACATGGTACAATATAATATTTAATTACGTACAGAGTTCTATTTTATTTAACATTATTTTTGATTATATATTTTTACTCACAAATTGGTATGTATTTAGAATATTGTTGTTGAAGAGGAAATTCCTATGTCTAACAAGCTTAACCAGGTTGATTGCGGACTCATCAATGACAACCTTTGCGAGGAATTGAATGCTAGAGAAGAGGGTTATTCATGAAGAATTGGACACTGACGCGAAGGGAAAAGCAAAAGTGGATAAATAAAAAGTATAAGGCTATTTATTAGACTATTTATTAATGTCTTGGATTTTCATAAGCATATTTGTTTTGGGTTCGATAGTTCATATAAATGTAATATATATATGTTTTCGACAACTTCGTTGGCTCTTCGTAATTGACTATGATATAAATAAAACGAATGAACGCATATAGTTTCATTTTATATTATATTTATTTGCAATATTTTCAATTCTTATTAATGAATTATTTAACTTCTATATCACAATGGTTGACTAATCAACTACATCTAATCACTAGACATCAAAAGATTTTTCAAACAATCACACAATAAACAAATAATTAACATAAGTAAATGTACTTAAAAGGCTAAAAGTAATTTAACATACGCAATAATTGTACCAAAAAAAAAACATACGCAATAAACAAATAATTTGCACGAGGTGGTGGATAATAATTCAGTACAACTATAATAAAAACACTTTAATGGATAAATATGTTGAGTTGGCCGATAATATCCAATATTAGCCTATAAGTAACAAATAAATATATGCACCGTATTTATTATTTTATTTAAATGACATCAAATATTTATAATAAAAAATATTGACAATGCTTATTTCAGAATGAAAACAAATATTACTTTCAGATTTGTTTTCGAAATATCAGCATACGATTAAAGAAATATAACAACTTGGAAAATTAATACCAAGTTATTTGTATTAAAATATACATATTTTGTAATGCTATGTGTGGAAAATATCAACAAGTACCGTAATTAGTTGTTAAAGATCTACAAAATTTTAGAAATTCATATATATGCAACTATTTACCTTGCATATCTAAACACATATTAGATGCATATCTTCCAATAATAGAATATATTAAATATTTTCAAAAGGCAGCATATCAGAATGAATATATATAGATTTGTCAAACAGAAAGTAATAGATGCACGGTAGCCCATTAAGATTTTTTTCATACCTATATCATGAATAAAAAACTGACAGCGTGTTGTTAAACCATAAGGCAAAACCTAACAATTCATACAGTTCTTTTCTTCTTCTCCCAACGGCGCAATTCTTCCAACATCAAATACACACAGACAGACATAAAAGTCTTGAAACAGGTACAGCAGTTAGTTATGTTTTTATATTACAAAAAACATTTTATAAAACTTAGTGTATAATGGATCAATTGTGACATTACTTTGAAAAAACAATTTTCAGCCGGTATTGTGTGCAATGGATAAAGACGAAGCTGAAGGACAGAAATCACAAACAAGGAACATGAAGAAGAGAAAATCAACAAAGAGTGAAAACCCGGTGCACGGTAATTCATACAACAATTAATTATTGTTTTTCATTTAGATATATTAGAAAATGTACTACTGTCATAATATTAATGTGGGTGAACATACCTTTGCAGTGGTTAAATAACCAGCAATAAGATTTTTTGTGAATCCCATCTCAATATATGTCCCTTTTCTCTTTTCTCAAAATACGTGCTTCCGTCACTTCATCTACAATTATATAAACAGGACATTAGACTCGGTTATCACACAAGATATGTATAAGGAATTTTATAATAATGTCAAAGTAATAACACTTTAACTAATTACCTTTTCTTAATCATGTTTGCTGAAGTCCCTAAGATCCCCGATCATCTCGAGCTACCCTTCATCGGTCCCGTGATGCTCATGCATACAAATATAGATTTATATTTAATAAAACATACCAATAGATACTTCACTGATTATCAAAGGTGACTCAAATCTTATTAGCTTGCTTTTGTATTCTGTGATAACAGACAACGCTATAAAACGCAGTCGATCGACAAATCTAAGCAGTGTGCAAAGAGAAAGACCACGTAATGAAAACACGTCACCAGGTATTTCCACGATCAACGATATATATTTTTACACATTGTCAACATGTAGCTGGTACCTTTTAAAACCTTAAGACCTCAAAATTAATAGTTGTTATGTCATCTATGAAGCTCACAAAAATCAAAACAGAATTTTCACAATAAAACATGTATGGAGGACACATTAGCAAGCCAAATAATCATTCATTTAAACTAAAAGACCGAATTATTGAAAAAAAAAACGTACTTGCTCTTTGCCATAACCAATTAAAATAGTGTCTGTGTAACAAATAATACAAGCAAGAATACCATACAAACCAAGCAAACAGGCTATTAATCGAAGTCAGAAAACAAGCACTCACGAACTCTTAATGAGTGGATGAAGACAATTAAGATCAAACATGATGCACAATAACAGTTTCATTGGATACCTCTTTTGCTTTCTTGCAAATCAATTTTCTGGTCTCAGCTTGCTTCTTCTTTGCCTCCTCAACCTCTTTTGACTTGGCAATGGCCCAGTCCCCAGCCCTTTCTGCTTCTTCACAAGTCACTCCGAAACTATCACATAGGATTTACCAAACTAAGCCATTACTGTTGGGTGGTCGTCTGGCTCGACTCGCCGGGCCGACCCCGAACAACCGCTGGTTTGTCCCGGCATCACCCGATAGCCCCCGGCAGCACTCTGTAGGCTTCCGATATCAACCAGCAGGTCCCGGACTTCCCCGATAAGACCCGGACAGCTTCCTGTTGGCCCCGAACAGCAACCTTTCTAGCCCGAACAAGTCCCGGTTTGACCGCTTCAAGAATTGTTGTGCTGGTTACAATACAAACCAAAACCATAGTTATCAATCGATACCACTTTATCCCCGTGATGTTCATGCATAATAAGGATGAAAACATAAATTTATCGATACAAAATTGTCGAAAAATGGAATCGCGAAACCCAAAAATCAAAACTTTAAAACAAGATATTACCTTTCTTATCACTATACCCTCGCGTTAACTAGCTGTCTCGATCTTTTTCGATACAAAGATGCATGTGTAAATCACAACTCGGTTTCGTAAATCGTAGTGTTACAAAAATTGTTTTCGTAAACTACCATGAACGAATCCTGCTTGAGTTTTAGGCAAATATGGAAAAAATTGATATTGATGTTAGATCCTTTAGCGCAGGGAGAAAAAAAACTACATCCACTCAAAAGGGATTCAGTAACTGCTGCTGCGGATAAGGGTCTTGAACTGGTTTGTCCTCTACTGAGATCTGAATCTCTGGCTGAGGTATGTATAAAGGCAGCGAGCGACAGATCCAAAATCACTCGGTTTCGTAAATCGTAGTTTTACAAAAATTGTTTTTGTAAACTACCATGAACGAAATCGAAAGCGACAGATCCAAAATCAAAAATAGCACGGCGTGACAGACGAGTACATCGTTTTTTAGAAAGCAAACACATATTTTTTTTTGGAAATTTTCGATGAAGGATTTGGACATGAACGAAATGTTAGGGTTTTTTGGATGAGATGAATCGGAAATGGAAAGGTGAAACTTCCAAATGACTCAAGCAACATTATATATCACAGCACCGTTCAATCCTATCCTTCCATTTTTTGTTTGACTTTTTTAGACCGTCCGATAAAAAGGTATTTAATTGTATTGTGCTCTCTCTTTTTATGAAGGGCTGAAAAATAGAAATTGGCCTACTCCCTTTTAAACGGGCTGGATTTGTAAGTACAAACAAGTCCTTTTTCAATTGGTTTGTTCAGCCCAATTTCTTAAAATTAAAATACTTTATAAATTATATAATAAACTATTAAAATTATTCATATATAATTTTTTCATTACTATATAACAAATATTATTTTTAAATAGAAAATTAAATATAAAACCATTCCTATCTACTTTTAAAAAGCAATGTAATAAGTTTTTACTATTATAATACTAATACAATTATAAATTATAAATTTATAATTTGAAATGTTTGAACTAAATCAATCATTTTGAAAATTTAATAACATGTATACATCAATTTGACATACATTAATTTGTACTAATGTAAAATACCACTTTATGTAATAATTTTGCTTTATTATAATTGTAATTTTTTTAATTAATCTATATGAATAGTTTAAAACTTTTAAAATAAAATGCTAACTATATATAATTTGTATATTTTAATAATATATTAATAAATATATATATTTATTGACTAATGATATCATTCATATTTATTTTTTTCAGGTTATATGATGTCATCTGTTGTTAATGGATCATCTTTTATTGCACAACAATAAAATAATGGATCGGGCTATGTTTTCTATCAATATCATAGTGTGTTGCATACTCCTCATCGCCTACCATTATCTGATGTCACAAATGGTAAAATGTTGTACAATTCATAGTTTAATTGCAAAAATATAAATACTTAGTTTTTTTATCTATTAATAGATTACTTAGTATTTAATTATAACTGGTAAATCATTTTTAAATTGCTTAATAATATCTTTTAAACATTTGTTACATATTTATTTTTGGAATGTCTATTCAGCGTGAAAATTCTAGTATATAAGTCATTATGTTTAAACAATAATTGTATATTTTTTTATTTGAATTATTCATTATTATTAATAATTTATTTTTTGTTACATATATACTCATAATCTTATTTTTATGTGATCGTCCCTAAACTTTTATAAATAATTTTGAATAGGTGAGATGGCAGAATCATAAATTGTTCTATCTAAAAAACGGAATAACACGGCGTTATGTAGTGGAAGTAGAGGCATTGTAATCGACATCAAAAGTGATGACGAAGATGAATTGACTATTCTTGCTCAGCCTGCATCCGAAAACTTAGAGCATCCTGGTATGATTATATTGAATTAAACTTGATCGATTTATGTTTTGTTAATTTGAGAAACCTTAAAATCTACATAAGTGCTTTTATATGATATATGAACAAAATATATTCATTTATTTTTTAAACATCAAAGGTCGTAGCAAACGTAGAAGATCAAGTGCATCGAGAAATAATACGTCTGAAGGTCGTAACATCAATTCAAGCATTGTGATTGATCTTACTATCGATGATCCACCCGAACCTTCGGTTACAAAGAGGAAGCGTGGCCGACCAAAGAAATCCAATACAACAATAATACCAAGGGTGTCTGGTATAATGCATTCATCTTTGTCCCTTTTTTTTTTTTTTTCCAAAACGACAGATAATATTATAACTCAAAATGCACAAATGTGCGAATACACAGCAGCCAACGACTGAATACACAGCAGCCAACAGCTGAAAAAAGTGGGAGGACAGGTCAGAAGACCCCCTAGAATCCCGACTAGCAACGCTAGAATAAAGCTCACAACTAGAACTACCCAACTAAAAAACTAAAACAACAAACAACAACTAAAAAGACCCCATCGGAGTAATATCCGAGTGTCGGATCCCAGAGGGATAATAAAGTGACACCCGGCAACACAGAGGCCAAATGGCCCAGACCAAAACACACACCTAAAGAAGCGAAAACATGAACCACAACCTAACCACAAATAGATAAATCAAAAAACAAAAACCGAAAGAGACACAGCCTCCCTCGCCATGAACATTGAGAATAACGACAGACAACCATCTCCAACAACAGCTCTCAAGCCCGGAAAACGACCGCCCGCCACTGCTTAAGGCCTAGCAAGACGGGTACCCGCACCCTTGAACTAGTCGAAGAGTTGGCCCGCACTCCAATCGCGTGAAGAAAACTACACGGCTCGGCTTCACCGAATCAGCCCGACTGAGATAGCAAACCATTTGTACCAAACCAACACGACTGCAACACGAACGAACTACCGAGCACAAACAGTAACCACGGCCCCTCCTCGTGAACAACCGATTCCAACTCGCCCAGGAAGAACCGAGAGGTCCTTTTCGATCACAGACAAATAAAAAAACCGAGACAAGAGCAGCAGAAGAAGGGACAAACCTCCAAACGCCGCTTCGCCGGCGGAAAGGCGCGGTCTTGATCGGTGGCGAGAAAGGCGGTCCGGAAAAACAGATGGCGACCCAACCAGAGCCAGGTGCAGTTAACCCCACCTCGTCCATGAGCCCACACCGCACCCCAATCAACACCGACGGCCCCTGAGCTCCGGCGCGCAACCTGAACAGAGGAATTAACTCCGATGGCCGACGAAATTCGACGGTCAGACAGAGCCCCGTAGCAGCAATTGATACGAGGATTGTGCCTCCCATGGACGAGCGATGGAGGCCGTCCACCGTCAGCCTCGAATTTCCGGCGAGGGAGCTTCAATTTGCGAGATTACCGGCTAGGGTTTGGGTTGATTTTTTTGGGAGCGAGCGATGAGAGAGAAAAAGTCGCTTTTTCCTTCATCTTTGTCCCTTGATTATATTTTTTATAAATAAAAATTAATATATTTTGATCTATTGCCTTAATTTTATTTTCACAGAATATTGGGATATGGGTGATGCGAGCTTTCATTACAAATATTGTGGATCGACATTTTGGTATGTTGAAAGAAAATCGTCTACTAAAGTTGCAGTTGGTCCAGAATACAGTGGTTGTTGCGTGAATGGCATCGTAGAACTTCCTGTCCTAAAGCAGGCACCTGATTTTTTGAACGAGTTGTTGCATGGGGATAGTAGAAAAAGTAAGCATTTCCAAGATAACATACGGTCATACAACAGCATGTTTGGATTCACTTCGTTGGGTGGCAGAGTTGTCTCGGAGTTGAACAAAGGAACTGCACCACCAGTCTTTAGTTTACATGGACAAAATTATCACCTCATGGGTAGTTTGCTTCCTTCAGATGGTTCAACTCCAAAGTTTGCACAGCTGTATATATATGATACGGAAAATGAAATATCTAATAGAATCAATGTTGTCAGGTGAGATTCGTTAATTGATTACCATATTATTATAAATTTGAAAAAAATGAGTATAACCTATTATTGTATGCCTAAATCATATTCTAATGCATTATTTTTATGTTACCAGTAAACAAGATGGGGTGACAAATTTTCAAGTTGACATTGTTGAGGAGTTAAAAGCCATGCTTGATGTGCACAACGAGCTTGTGAAGTCTTTTCGAATGGCCAGGGATAGGCTTCAGCAATCTGGTTCTGTTGATGTCCGAGTTCGTCTAATTGGAAGACGATACAATGATGCTAGGCGGTATAACCTTCCTACAAGTTCAGAAGTAGCTGCATTGGTTGTAGGTGATTTTGATCAAGCTTTGGGTGATAGGGACATACTGGTAGAAACAAAAAGTGGTCTTCTACAAAGGATAAACGAGCTTAATGCGTCGTATTTGGCTTTACAGTATCCACTTTTGCTTCTGTATGGGGAGGATGGATATAGGGAAGATATTCCTTTTACTGAGAGAAAAACTGTTGTTGAGGATGGTCGAAAGACTGTTAGTGTTCGGGAGAATTTTGCATATAGGATTCATGATAGGAATCACGAGCCATCAACAATACTATCAGCCAGGCGATTGTTTCAGCAGTTTGCTGTTGATGCTTACACCATGGTAGAATCTTCGAGGTTGAGATACATACGTTTCAACCAGAATCGGCTTCGTTGTGATATTTATAATGGACTTGCAGATGCAGTTCTTCGTGGTGACACCGATCCCAGTTCTCGAGGCAATCGTATAATACTTCCTTCCACATTCACTGGAGGTGCTAGGAATATGATTCAGAACTACCAAGATGCAATGGCGATTTGCAGGTGGGCTGGGTATCCAGATCTTTTTATAACGTTCACATGCAACCCAAAGTGGCCGGAGATTGTTAGACATTTGGCACCTAAAAATTTGCGCCCTGAGGATCGACCGGATATTGTGTGCAGAGTCTTCAGAGCCAAGCTTAAGGAGATGATAAGGGATTTTCGTAAAAACCAAATTTTTGGCAACGTTATAGCAGGTGAACAATATGATACCTTTTATTTTTTGTTTATATATATATATATATATATACTCTAACTTTCTAATTTCATGTTTGTTTTTCATTAGCTTCATTAATACTATTCTTATATATGATGCAGTTATTTATACAATTGAATTTCAAAAACGTGGACTCCCGCATGCTCATATACTATTGTTCCTATCAAGAGAAAGTAAGTTTCCAAATCCATCTGATATAGACAGGGTAATATCTGCCGAGATACCTGATGAGCAATCCGATCCTTTCTATTATGAGGCTGTTAAGGAGCACATGATTCATGAAACGTGCGGCTTGGCGAAGAAAGACTCTCCGTGTATGGTGGATGATATTTGCACTAAAAACATTCCAAAAAAGTTTGTCGAATCCACGACCGTTGATGAAGATGGGTATCCACGTTACCGACGTCGAGATGATGGCAGACATATTGAGAAAAGTGGTGTTATTGTCCACAATGGATATGTCATTCCACACAATCGCCGTTTGTTGATGAAATATGGAGCGCACATAAATGTCGAGTGGTGCAATCAATCGCGCTCCATAAAATATCTGTTCAAGTATGTGAACAAAGGGAATGATCGTGTTACTGCCTCTTTCTATAAGACATCTGGAGATGAAGCTTCTGGTAAACCTGTGGATGAAATATCCATGTATTATGATTGTCGTTATGTTTCATCTTGTGAGGCGGCATGGAGGTTATTGGGGTTTGAATTGCAGTACAAGAAACCTCCTGTT